GTGTATATAGGTATATGCACATCACACATACTGGGCCTATTAAGATGTCAGAAAGTGTATGTGTTTATGTATATGTGTTGATGATATTGAAGTATCCATCAGATTTTATTTTCTTGTGTTCTTTTAAAAATCAGGTGGGGGCCCAGATATTTAGCTCAGTGGTTTCGCTGCCTGCTGCACAAGTGCAAAGACCTGAGTTCGATCCCTGGTACCAAAAAATAAAAATAAAAATCAGGTGGGTATGCCAGGCTGGGAATTTAGCTTAATGCTAGGGTATTTGCCTAGCATGCACAGGGTTCTAGGTTCAACCCCAAGTACCATAAAAAAGATCCCCCCAAGGAAAAATCAGGTATGCATTTTGAATATTGTCAGACTTTTGCAGGTGTCTTGGAAACATAAATGTTTTTTTCTTACCTGTATTATAATGGCATGTTGTACTTAACAGCTTTCTAAATACTAAACTAATCTATGTTCTTAAGTCCTATTTGGCTACTGTGGATTCTGTTTTTAGTCTGGTATTGGGTTGTTTGCTAGTGTTTTATTTGGGGTGTTTATTTTGACATAAATAATATTGTCATATGATTTTACATGACTAATTGATTAATGAGTCTTCTAAGCCCAGCAGGGCACCCTTGCCCTATAACAACACTTCTGTCTTCTGGGCTTCCTCAGCTCAGGTTATTCCTTTCAGTGGATAGTTTCTCAGCTCGTTTCTGGCCTGTGGGTGGTCATGCATGTTCTGCGCAAGGGAGCACCTGTATGTTTGTTGTCTCAGGGAGTCTCGTGTGCAGTGATATGTTAGTGATGTCCACTGGCGTTGGTGCATCCTGTATGGATAAGAGGATACTGTAGCACAGTCATGGAGCATTTACCTTTTTCACCTACAAGGAAAATTTACAGCGTGAGAATCTACTCCCTGCAGCAGCACTGAAAGCCTGGTCTTGTTTCACAGTGGTTTGAGAATTGTACAGAAATCATTTTCTTAGGTAACAAATTGTCTTGCTTTTCTGAAAGTGGCTTCCTATTGTCTTTATGCATAAATAGGAGCTTGTCTTGGTACACAGTTTAGGTTGTAAATCTTCTCTCTTCAAAGTTGTGGGCAGTTCTCTATTGTTTTCTCAGTTGGCAGGGTAAGTAGTCTTTTCTTTTTTCTCTGTTTAACATTTTAGAATTTTTTCCATTTTAGATACTTAACAGGAAGTTTCTGAATCTCTGATTCACCAGTGTTCTTGTTTGCAAATGAGAGGGCCATTTTGGAGGTGGAGGCTTCTGTGCATCTTTAGCCCAGGTGTCATTTGCAGGTCATCTTTTGATTATTTTTTGTTCAGCCTCTATGTTCTCTATTTCCGAAAGTGTTGAATTTATTGAGTCTGACTTTATGTCCCTAATCTGCTTTCATCACTGCCATCTACATTCTGTGTCCCATTTATTAACCAAGCCTGTTGAGGATTTTTAAAAGCAATTCTACAAGGGCCAGGGATTTAGCTCAGTGGTTCTGCCTCCTGCCTCGCAAGCGCAAGGACCCGAGATCGATACCCATTTACCAAAAAAACCCAATTCTACAATCCAGTCTCTTAAGTATTTTCTGATAACTTTCTAAGCACAATGTTCTTCCTTTCTGAAGCAATATCCTGCTGACTTTTTTGTTTGTTTTTATTAGTACATGTTTAGAGTACATGTTTATATTCCTTATGGGTTCATGTACATAATACATCTTACTGCCTTCTTTCATCCTCTCTTCCTTCCCTCCTCTCCCCTTCCATCCATCTCTCAACCCCTTTTTTTCTTTTTTTCTGTATGTTTGTGGTGCATGATGTTTACGATTCTCGTGTGGAGTTGGTACGTGTACATAACACATCTTAACTCTTTCCCTCCCTCTCTCCATCTCTTGATCTTTTTTCTTGGTCTCCCCATTTCCTGTCTTTTATTTTGCTCCTTATTTACAGTTTAGGTTTCTCATATAAAAGAAACCATCCAGTACTTAAGCTAATGTGTCTGATTTATTTCAGTTAGCATTATCATCTCAAACTACATCCATTATCCTACAAATGATTCAAGTCTATTTTTATGGCATGTATAAGTACTGTGTATAAACACCCTATTTTCTTTTCCATTCACCTGCTGATAGACAAACAGGCCACTCTTCCAAGATTTAGCTATTAGTAGTTGTGCTGCTGTAAACATGGGTATGCATGTATCATGTAATATGATGCTTTTAACTCTTATGAAGAAACCAAGAAGGGGAATGGCTGCATTGAATGGAATTTCTAGCTCTGAGTTTTTGAGGAATCTCCATACTGACTTCCAGTGATTGTACTTGTTTACATTCCTACCAGCAAAGTAGAAGGGGTCCTTTTCCACAGCCTCTCCAGCGTTTGTTATTATTTGATTTCTTGATGATGGCCAATCTTTCTGGAGTCAGGTGGAACCTCAAGTTTTATTTTAGTTTGCATTTTTTAATGGCCAATGGTGATGGTGTTGGTTTTGGTGTTTGGTGTTTGGTGTTTCAAGACAGGGTCTCACTATATAGTTTAAGTAGGCCTTGAACTCAGTATGTAACCTAGTAGCCTCGAACTCTTGGTGATCGTCTTGCCTCTGTTTTGTGAGTTCTGGGATTATAGGTGTGTGCCACCAGGCCCGGTGATAATTCCTGAATTCATGTAAAAATGTGAGTCAGTTCCTTCTGGAAATCCAGCTCCTTGGTAGGCAGAGGCAGGAGGATTGCAAATTTGAGGCCAACTAGGTTGAACATGTCTACCCCACCCCTTCTCCTCATCCCCCCCCCAGGAAAAGAAAGTGAATCTGAAAAAAATTTAAGTTCTGTTTCCTTTTTATGAATTTGATTCCATCAGTGTTTAGTTGCTTATCTTGATACATATCATTATGTTCTTTTCTTAATTATCTGATAAATCTTGATTTTATGATATAATTTGTGAGAAAATAATTATTAAAAGCTGGGGATTTCACGCAGTGGTTCTGCCATCTGCCTCACAAGCACAAGGGCCCAAGTTTGATCCCCGGTAACACCCCCCCCCCAAAAAAAAGCTGATGGGAGGGCTGGGGATTTAGCTCAGTGGTTCTACCACCTGCCTTGCAAGCACAAGGTCCTGAGTTCGATCCCCAGTATCACACACACACAAAAAAGCTTATGGGAATGTACTGAAATATTTACCGTATTTGAGGCCTCTTTCCTTTAGGAGGCAAAGTCCACAAGTAAATAGGGAAGGATATGTACTTAGATGGGTATGTATTCATTTTGGAAAAGTGCTGAATTGATGGACAAGGAGCCTTTGCTCAAATTGCTTTCCATTGTGAATCATTTTTTGAGTTTGCCTTTAGGGGAAAAACTCCACGTTCAATGTGGATAGGGTTGCATACATGCCCTGTTTTGCCTGAGATGATCTTGGGTTGAGCCTCTTCCATGGTATCCCACCCACTTGCTTTATGGTGTATCCCAGATGGAATGTTTCTTTTTGGACAATGAACATATAATTGCCCTAAGAATAGTGTTCTGATGTCATGGGCTCCCTGCTGAGTCTCTGGTGAAACCAGGTCACCACTCAAGCTGCTGGTGATCTTGCAGTTCATTTCTATGTCAGCCAGTCACTCTAAGACCCACAGAAGCCCTAGGCTTTGCAGTGGGCTTGGACATCTTCAAGGGCTCTTTTGGAGAGTCTGCATTCACTTTGATTGCAGCCCATCAACCCTGTATAGTTTATGGCCTGTGGCCTGTGGCTCTGGTTTACTTACTTCAAGGATGTCCTCAGAAATTTTTCCTCATATCTCTGTGTTCTGGTGCTCTTAGGAGAAGGAAATCCATTTTTATTGTTGTTGTTTCTTTTTGAAGTGAGAAAGTAATTGTGTAAGTTTGATTTAGAATTGACCCTAATAGTCAAAAGCTGTTGTTGGGAAAGCACCTTCTTGGTTTCTTTTGGCCTTCATATCACATCAACCTTTTAAATATTGATGCTTCTTCAGTTTTTGCCATTGATACTTTCTATCTCTCATTGTCTTCTTTCTCTTTAATCCTGTAGAATATACAGCTCAGCTTTCAGGACTTAAAATTAGCCAAATCAAAAAAATAAAAAAATAAAAAAATTAGCCAAATCTTTGAAGCCTGGTCTGAGAGCATACAGTTGAAATAGTTCATGAGTCCCTTCAGTTAAACCACTCTTCACCTTGTATGCATTGCTCTGTAACTGTACTTTTGAGTGTTCATTCAATAAAAAACATATGTTGCTAGTTGGGTCTGGGGGCACACATGTATAATCCCAGCAGTCTATGAGCCAGACGCAGGATCACAAGTTTGAGCCCAGCCTAACCAACCTAATGACTTAGTGATACTGTTTCAAAATTAAGAATTTTTAAAAAGGACTGAATATGTAGCTCAGTGTGAAGGCCAGTGACCCAGTAAGAAGAAAAAAAAGTATGTGGCTGCTAGAATAAGGTGTAACTTGGAGGAAGGAAAATACCTACCTACATGATTAACCAGGGGTGGTTGCCATGGGAAGGAAAGAGGCAGAGGACTGAAGCAAGGTGAGAGCTGCAGGGAAGTAATGGGAAGGAAAGAGAAAGGACTTGAGTTGTGGGTGCTCCACCATGAAGGGGTGTAGGAGCAGGGGAGGGGTGTAGGAGTAGGGGAGGGGTGTAGGAGTGTGGGGGGGGCACCCAGCAAAAGAGACCACAGAAAGAGACAAGAAGGAAAGCATGTATGTTTGTTTACCTATGGATCACCTCATCACACTATCAGTCTTTTGAGAGCAGGAGTAGGATTTTACCTACCTTATATCCCCCTAAACTCACAAGTTCCCCAGAAAATTTGGAACTCTGTTGTTTTTTGGGTTTTATTTTTGTTTCTTATCTATTAAAGAATTCAAAGGCAATGTGTTTCCCATATTGTCTGCTTTCCTTCCATAGTCTAACATAAAATAAGGTGTACAGTGTCTTGTCCTGCTATACTTCTTTTATGTCACTCTATTCCAATTGTGGTGCCATTGCAGGGGCCAGTGTCATTCAAGGATGTCGCTGTGGACTTCACTCAAGAGGAGTGGCAGCAGCTGGACCGAGATGAGAAGATGACATACAGGGATGTGATGTTGGAGAACTATAACAATCTCATTTCTGTGGGTAAGGTCAGCTTACTTTCTTCTTCTTGTTATTGTTTTTTTGATGGTACTGGGGATTGAATTCAGGGCCTTGTGCTTGCCAGGCAGGCATGGTGCCACTGAGCTACATTCCGTGCCCCAGGTTGGTTTCTTCCTTTTTGTTTTTTTTTGCGGGGGGTCGGATTGAGACAGTCTCACTGTGTAGTCCAGGTTGGCCCCAAGCCCACACTGATCCTCCTGTATCAGCCTTCTGAGTGCTAGGATTATAGGCATGAATCATCACATCTGGAGATAGCTTGGTTTCTGAACACTTTGAGTTTATGATTTTGTTCTTGAGTTTGAAGAAACAAATGATAAGACCTTTTAGTTCCTTTGGGGCATATGTCAAATGTTTGTATCTTCTCCACTGAAAGGTTCTAACTTTGATAAGGTAAAAGCTAGGGTACTTTATTATGTAGCCTCTAGGGCAACATCCTCCTCTGCTGCAGAGATTCTGAAGCAGCCAGCTAGTCCAAGCCCTTCTCCATTTTTTGTTAACAGGGTATGATGTTACCAAACCAAATGTGATCATTAAATTGGAGCAAGGTGAGGAGCCATGGACAATAGAAGGTGATTTCTCTCAAACTTGTCCAGGTGAGTGAATATAAAACTTTTAAAAAATGATCTTCCCAGTTGATTCTGTAGGGGCAACTTTAGGAATTTGACATTTAAAGTTTTTCACCAAATGAAACCTGGGGAGAATGGACACTCTTATTTGTATTCAGAATTAAGAAGACGTATGATAGGGACATGACTAGTTTTAGGAAATCTAATCAGCAAATTGAAAGAAAATTAATGGTTAAACTATTTGTGTCAAACTTCTGAGCTCTGTTTGTGGAACCATCTATCTAAACGTGAGGAAATTTGAGCTTTTTAGAATGTTTGTTTGAATTTATGTGCAGAGTAGAAAGGCAATGATTTTGGAATGGCCTAGTTGGGCAGTCTTGTTGGTATGAAATGATATGTTGGCAATTTAATATGAATTGCAGTCTACTTATACCAAGTGTAATTCATACCTGAATATCCCTTTTGCTTCACCCAATAATTGTTCTTGTTCTTTCATGAATCCCTTTTGCTCTAAGTCTTCTTGTTTCTGCCTGGATCTAGTACTTATTCAGTGGGTTTATTTCACCTTCTCTACCAAAGTTTTGAATATAATATTTGTAATGTAACAAAGGTAATTGTATTCAATGTGAATTCACTTTTCCTTTTTCCACTACTACTGAATCTCATCCCCATACTTCTCCACCTCCCTCCATCCCTGTGTGTATGTGTTTTGTATTATAAATTAAAGGAAAAAGACCAATACACTCATATTTTTTTTGTATATATTGGCCCCAAAGACAGAGTTGGTCTCACAAATAAGATACTTAAGTACCACTCTCATTCTATAGCTTATGTGTCCAGATTCACAAGGTTTGTTTAATCTTTTTCTTTTCAGAAGTATGGAAGATTGATGACCTCATAGAGAGAATTCAAGAAAATGAAGATGAACATACAAGGCAAGCTGTTGATATTCATAGCCAAACCTTGACAGAGGAGAGAAGGGATGCACTTGATAAAATATGTAATGTGGAAACAAACCTTGATCCTTCAAGCATAATAGCTCACGGATGTGTCTCTTGTGGGAAGAGGTTAGAAACTTTTTCAGAATTAATCAGTAGTGATGGAAGCTATGCAAGGAAGAAACCTGATGTGTGTAATGAATGTGGGAAAATTTGTCATGGAGAGAACCTTTGTGAGATTAATCAAATTGAGGACACCTGTTCTCAAAGTGAAGAAAGTATTCTGCAGAAAATTAATGATTTGGAGAAGCCCTTTGACTACGAGTGCATGGAAGCCTTAGATAGTGAAGCTGTTTTCATTGCTCATCATGAAAGAGCATATATGGGGGAGAAGGCTTATGAGTGGAATGATTCTGAGCCAGACTTCATCCAGATGTCAAATTTTAATGCCTATCAGAGCTCACAGATAGAAATGAAGCCCTTTGAATGCACAGAATGTGGAAAGTCCTTTTGCAAAAAGTCCAAATTCATCATTCATCAGAGGGCCCACACAGGAGAGAAACCCTATGAGTGTAATGTGTGTGGTAAATCCTTTAGTCAGAAGGGAACACTCACTGTACATCGAAGATCACACTTGGAGGAGAAGCCCTATAAATGTACTGAGTGTGGGAAAACCTTCTGTCAGAAGTTACACCTCACACAGCATGTGAGAACGCACTCGGGAGAGAAGCCCTATGAATGTAGTGAGTGTGGGAAAACCTTCTGCCAGAAGACACATCTCACCCTACACCAGAGAAACCACTCAGGAGAGAGACCCTATCCATGTAGCGAGTGTGGGAAATCCTTCTCCCGCAAGTCAGCCCTCAGTGACCATCAGAGAACCCACACAGGAGAGAAGCTTTATAAGTGTAATGAGTGTGGAAAGTCCTACTACCGAAAGTCTACCCTTATTACTCACCAGAGAACACATACGGGCGAGAAGCCCTATCAGTGTAGTGAATGTGGCAAATTCTTTTCGAGGGTGTCATACCTCACTATACATTATAGGAGTCACTTAGAAGAGAAGCCTTATGAATGTACTGAATGTGGCAAAACCTTTAATTTAAATTCAGCCTTCATCAGGCATCGGAAGGTACATGCAGAAGAGAAACTCCATGATTGTGGTGAATGTGGGAAGTTTTCTCAGTCACTGTATCTCACTGACCATGATACAACCCATGTAGGAGAGAAGCCCTATGAATGTAATGAGTGTAGGAAAACTGTCCTTGAAAATTCAGCCTTCAAGGGCCATCAGCCCCTTCCAGAAGAGGAGAAAACCTATGAATGTAATATATGTGGAAAATCCTTCTCTGAGTTGACAACCTACACTGTACATTACAGAGGACATGCTGAAGAGAAGCCTTTTGGATGTAATGAGTGTGGGAAAACCTTCTCCCATAATTCATCCCTCTTTAGACATCAGAGAGTACACACTGGTGAGAAGCCCTATGAATGTTATGAATGTGGAAAATTCTTCTCCCAGAAGTCCTATCTCACAATTCATCATCGGATTCATTCAGGAGAGAAACCCTATGAGTGTAGCAAGTGTGGGAAAGTCTTCTCTCGGATGTCAAACCTCACTGTACACTATAGAAGCCATTCAGGAGAAAAACCCTATGAATGTAATGAATGTGGGAAAGTCTTTTCTCAGAAGTCATACCTCACTGTACATTACAGAACTCATTCAGGAGAAAAACCCTATGAATGTAATGATTGTGGGAAAAAATTCCACCACAGATCAGCCTTCAATAGCCATCAGAGAATTCATAAAAGAGGGAATATGAATGTACTCAATGTGGAAAACCCCTGAAATCAAATCTCAATTTTTAGAAAACCTGAGTGTACAAATCTGGGAAATTTGATAAGGAGCCTAATATTCATTTGACCATCTTCCTGAATGGGGAAAAGCTTTGAAGTGTTAGATCCATTTTAATTGGATTTTTCAGAGAAGAATCCTTAACAGTGCACCAAGTAGCAAAGCCTTCAAGAAGACCATACAACTTATGAGACACTAGATATTTTATGCAGGTGTGAAATTTTATAAGTATTTATTATTTATTTTAGGTTCAAATTGTATTTACCTATCAGGGAATCATACTAAAGAGAAGTCTGTCAATATGATGAATGTGGAGAACATACTGTCTTGAAAATTGTTATGCTAAAAGCCATATTTCTGATGTAAAAAATGTTTCTAGGAAAGATTAAACCATCAGCTCTGAATAAACTTCCATTTTATAAAATGAAGTTTTAAAATCATCAGGAGTTGATGTGAGGACTGTAGCATTAAACATATATTTCCTGTTATGTTTTTCAAAGCAATCTAATGGTAATTCTATGCAAATTAGGATTTGAATAACATGAAAAGACAGTATTCTTGAGTATTGGATGGCAAAATGTACTAACAGGGATATGTTGTTGGTGGGATATTTGATAATTGTATAATAGTAAAGTACATAACTTTCAATTTTTTAGAGGAATGTACAAGTTCATTTTTAGTGAATGCTTCATCAGTAGAGGGGTGCTTTTCAACTTCACTTGAGCTAAAAAAGGATTTTAAAAAATACTATTTTGATAAAGTATGCATACATAATTTGGGAGCCTGTTTCAGTGAAAGAACGAGTGCTATATGTTCTACCCTACTCTAACATAGCCCCAGTTCTTCACCTCTCTCATTTTCTGATCTATAGATTTGAGTACCTAGAATGCCAGTATTATGAAATTGAGACTTTTTAATGTGATATGGCTGTCATTTTGTTTATTGTCCTTTATTCCCTATACTTTTGAACAAATCAATATAAGTTTGCAGCAGACATTTTCTGGTTGATTGACTTAATGTCCTCCCTTATTCCTTGCTGGAAGAGTTTGACTACCTACTCTTTTCACTTGATCCTGTAAATCCTGATGAGTTTACACCAATAATGATCCAATCTTTTGCCAGTACAGTAGCCCCCTGTTCCTTGGATACCTGATGGATACATGATGGGTCTATTCCTTGGATACCTGATGGGCAGGTAGCAGATACAGCAGGGATACTCTGGACAAAAGGATGATTCGTGTCCCAGGCAAGATGTGCGAGATTTCATCACACTGATTACAGTTGTGCACACATTAAAATTTAGGAGTCACTCATTTCTGAGATTTCCCATTTAGTGCTTTTGGACTGGCTGACCCCAGATAAGTGAAAGTGTGCAAAGTGAAACCTCAGGTAAGAAGGGGCTGTTGTAACTTGTTTGTGATGACCATATAACCCACTCCTGTATAAACCAAGCTAATAAATTTGTTCAGGGAAGTGGGTGAACTGGTGATCAAATGGGTCTTGCTCCAAGAATGCAAGAGTGGTTAAATATTCAGAAGTCAACCACTGTCAATCACATATAGGTGATTTGGTATGCAGAAAAGTGACAGAATTAATGTCCATTTATAATCTTAGCAAATGTGGATAGAAAGGAACTTCCTTAATTGGACAGAGTAACTTAAACTATAACAAACAGTATGCTTAATGGTGAAATAGTGAAAGTTTTCTCCTACGATATTAAGTCAAGGATATCTTCTGTCACAGATTTTATGCAACACTGTACGGAAGGACTTAGCCAGGGGAATGGATGGATGGATATATATGGATTGGAAAAGAAGTAAAACTTTATTTGCAGAGACATGAACTAGTAAGTAGAATATTCTTGAGAATATTCAGATAATAAAAATTAATGAATAAATTGAGCAAGGTCCCTGCATACAAGATCATTTTTTTGGTACTGGGGATCAAACTCAGGACCTTGCGCTTGTGAGGCAGGCAACAGAACCACTGAGCTAAATCCCCAGCCCCATAAGATCATTTTTGGCAAAACTTGTTTTTCATTATACCAGCAAAAAACAAGACAAAAAATGTTAAAGCAATACCATTTTTTAAAAAATCTGAATTTTTTTCAAGTGCCTAGGGAATAGTTTAATATGTTTTCAAGAGATTTATCCAGAGAAAAATAAGAATTATTTCAATGTCAATTTTCCCTAATTTAACTCATATATTGAGTGCAGTCTTCATGTTTAGTGTTGTTTTTGTGGTACTGGGGATTGAACACAGGACCTTGAGCATGTTAGGCAAGCACTCTGGTGCTGATCTGCACCCCAGCCCTTTATTTTATTGTAATTCTTGAGATAGCCTCACTGAGTTGCTTAGGCTGGCCCTAAACTTGAGACCCTCCTGCCTCAGCCTCCTGAGTGGATTGTATTACAGCTGTACACCACCACACCCCACTCAGTACAATCATAATTTTTTTTTAAATTCAGGAATTCTTTAATGGAAATTCACAAGTTAAATCTAAAGTTGATATGAATAGTCAAAATGCCAATAATACAGTCAAGGCTGTATTGTAAAAGCTGTATAATGCTACTTGTAGGTATCAAGATCTGTTATAAACCCATAGGAATTATGATGTGAGATTGGCACAAAAATAAAAGGGGGCTGGGGATTTAGCTCAGTGGTTTCTCCGCCAGCTGTCCAAGTTCAAGGACTAGAGTTCGATCTTCGGTACCAAAAAAAAAAAGTGAGAAGTGAAACAATACAGAGGTTCTAGAAAGACACATACGCAGTGACTGGGCTAACAAAGATGAGAATGAAATTTTACCAGAATTTTGGAAACTTTGTAACAGAATAAGAGTTTTCTTAAGATCTAAAAATCTAAACTGTAAGTTAAAAATTAGTTGATTTGGATGCACAAACTTGAACTTGGTTTATCAGAAAGACATTAAGAAAGAGTAGAAATCAGGCAGAGTGGAGATAAAAACCATCAGTGAGCTCAGTAAGAAGCCAGATGGTAAATATTTGAGGCTATGTCCCATTGCAGGCTGCCCAACTTTGCTATTATCTGAAAACAGCCAAATATGGCACATAAATGAATCTCATCTCAGCTTTTTGTTTGCTGTACCTGGGAATTGAACCCAGGGCCTTCACACTAATCCACATCCTCAGCCCTATTTTTTTTTTTTAATTTTGAAATGCATTAAATTGCCCAAGCTGGGCTCAAGCGTGAAATCCTCTTGCCTCAGCACCCCATAGTGTTGGGATTACAGTTGTGCACCACCATGTCTGACCATGGCACATAAATGAATGTGGCTGTTTCCCAATAAAGCTTTATTCTCAAACATGGGGCAATCAGGATGTGGCTTGCAGCCTATAGTTTTCTGGTGCTTGAATATATAGAGAACACCTGCAAATCAGTGAGACGCATGGGGCAAAAGATTTGGCCACCCTCCTCACAAAAGATGATAAACCAAAATGGCCAAAAACCAGTAAAGATGTGTTTCATTTATTAGTAACCAGGGAAATGCAAATTCAAAACTACTGCTACCCACCCGCTGAAATGGTTAAAATGGAGGCATGAAAAGCAAGTCTGGGCAAGGATGTAAGCAACAGGAACTCTTAGTGGGACTGCCAATTAGCACAGTCTTTTTGTAAAATTGGCACGTGTATGCTGTTCAACCAAAACAGGCAGAAAAGAACTATCAAGGCATGTGTATGTAATAGAATGAATAAATGCATGTGGTATTTCCACAGTAGAATACTGTAGAGCAATGAGAATGATGAACTGTAACCCCATGCAGTAGCGGCTGAATTTCACCATGCTGATGAAGGACCACAGACACAACCAAGCCTACTGTGTGGTTCTGTGTAGAGCATATGGACGGGCAAAACTTGTCTATGCAATTAGGAATTGATACAGCATTTACCCTTGGCCAGTGCTTACAAGGAATATTTATCTGGTGCTGGTAATAATCTATTTTGAAATTGGGTGCTGAATATGTTTTGAGCTGTATTCTTAAAATGTATTTTTTCTGCATGTATATTACCTTTGATAAAAGTTTTTTAAAATCAAATGTCTAACTTGCTCAGCACTCAGCATATTTTTCTGGGTACAATATATGTGAATATGCTATGTAACAGCAATTAAATGGTAGATTTTTCATAACTGCAATGATATATACTCTTCATAGTAGTTTAATGGCAACTACTATGATTTCCTACACTATGTCGTTAAAGGTGACCATTATGTATATTTTAAGTAAAATATTTGAAAAGGTTAAGGCTCATTACATAGTTTGTCATCCTACACTCTTGCATATGTAAATGGGTCTGGCACATAGTGGTTTTGAGCTTCCTCTTTAATAAAAAAGCTAACATGTAAACTCTTCACATTTTGTCATATTTTCACATTTCTGAATTTGAGGTACATTTTTTTTTTTTTTGGTACCGGGGATTGAACTCAACCCTGCTCTTGCGAGGCAGGCTGTGGCACCATTGAGCTAAATCCCCAGCCCTGAGGCACATCTTAAACATCACCATAGAGATAAAAGTGGGTAAATACAGTGCTGAATTTGATTTGATGAAAAATTACATTTAGAAGATGTTAAGATGATTATTTCAGCAAATGTAATGTACAGAGGTTTTTTGTTTTATTTTGGTCTTGGTTTTGTTTTGTTTGGTGGTATTGGAGATTGAACCCAGAACCTGTGCACTGAGCTAGATCCCCAACCCTTTCTTCTTTTTGTTTTGAGTCAGGGTCTGGCTAAGTCTCTAAATTGCCCAAACTGGTCTTGAACTTGGCCATATTCTGTCTCAGCCTTCCTTAGTGGTGATTGCAGGTGTGTGCCACAATAACCCAGCCTGTAATGGTTTTGGTTTTTTGTTTGTTTGTTTGTTTTTTGCTACTGGGGATCAAACTCGGGTCCTTGTGCTCGGGCAGCAGGCAGCGAAACCACTGAGCTAAATCCCTGGCCCCTGTAATGGTTTTTAACAACACAATATGACTGAAAGAAACTTGCACCTAGACTTTGCACCCATAAAATAACAGCACTTGGTAGGAGGTGCGGTGAGGGAGGCTGGCTAAGCTTATGAGGACACAGTGAGGGCAACATTTCTGATGCAGTGAACTATACTTTGTATTTCACTTTCTCATTGTGGACTAAGCTGGAATTGTGAACAGATTTGTGATGCCTTGTTTCCACTGTGACTTGGAGATGTGACTCCCCCACACCAAGGGGGGATGTTCTCTGCCCATTGTCACCTGGTGCCGTTTGCTCTGAGCACATCACCGAAGCCTCCTCACTGCCTTTCGAGGTTGCCCGCAGCCCGGTATTTATTACTCACTAGGGTTCAATTAACTTCACCTCCAAATTATGCAGAAGACATTGATGCAAGATGACAAAATTCATCCACTGTTCCTTGTTCCATCCCAAATTACATTGGGACCCTGGGGAAACAAGCTCCTCAAAGAGAAGCCTATGAGCGGCTGGGGATTTAGCTCAGTGGTTTCCCCGCCAGCTGCGCAAGTGCAAGGACCCGAGTTTGATCCCCGTTTACCCAGCCTCCAAAGAAGCCTATGAGAGCAAAGTCGTGTTGCAATATTCCCAAGGTAAATTTTGTCAGAGTCACAAAGAAAAACATACGGTAGTTTCTTTCTGCCACAAAACACAACTTTTTCCACATTGTGGAAGTTAAACCCTTGTGGTTTCTGTCAAATGGGGGGACTCTCTTTGAATAGTAGGTTTGTGCGCAAAGGGTGTGGAGTGAAAATAACGTCAGAAATTCGCAGGGAAGGAGACGGTCTCCGTGGAGGAAGATGTAGCACAAACACGGCCGAGCCAATTTCCAGAATGTATTCTTTTATGCACATTACGTCGCAGTCACATCCTTCCCTGACCTGGTGACACAGTGGAACAGGAACCCAGGGAGCTCAGCCTGACCAGGACGTCAGAGTGCGGGCGGAATGAGGAGCAGGAACAAGCGCGGGCAGGGAGGTGGCCTGGGCCATTCCTCCAGGACCCAAGAGCTAAGCCTTCAACGGATAGAAGGAAGGGGGTTGGGAAGCCCTGGGGACGCTGGGGTCTCCAGAGGGTAGCGAGCAGGTCAGCAGTCCAGACTCATGCTGATCACAGGGCCCAGCCCAGCCCTGGCAATTTAAAAGGCTGGGATGTAGCCCGTTGTAGCCTTGGGTTCAGTCCCCAGTACCATCAATAAATAAAATAAATACCCAAAAGTCTAGCTCCTAAAAACAAAATTTACAATGTCTGGCTCCCAATAAAAAGTATTTCTGCCAGGCATATAAAAGACGCAGAAAAAAAGCCAGCCGGGTAGCACACACCCGGCTCAGGAGGCTGCAGCAGGAGAATTGGCACGAGTTCTAGGCCAGCCTGGACTACATAGTGAGACCTTGTCTCCAAAAAGCAAACAAAAAAACCAACCTACAAGGAGGAAAAAAATAGAGACCCAGCAATGATATCCATCATCCATGTTAGAATCAGAAGATAAGGACATTAAAGCTGCTAATATACTCCCTAATATGCAAGAGGAATGAAGAATGGACAGCAAGAGGGACCCCAAAGGATTACCCTGGAGGAGCTGGAAGGCGCACCTGGCAGGCCTGGTCTGCTGGGCCAACCCAGACCGGAGAGGAAGGCGGGGCAGGTCTGTAGGAGAGAGCCAAGGAAGAGAAATCAGGCCTGCTGGGGGCGTGGTCTCCATGTGGGGTATAAACGACGGGTGCCTCTAGAGCACAGTTTAAAAGAGGTGTGGCTAGGGCACGGGGGCGTGGCCACTTGTAGGAGATGTAGTGTGACCTGGGTGGGTGTAGTGTGGGCTCGAGGGCTTGAGGGCACAACTCAGGTTTGAGGGTCCTGGCAGGGACGTTGGGCGTGGCTAGGGTTTGGGGGCGTGACTAGGATGTGGCCTGCCCCAAGGGGCGTGGCAAGGACGTGGGGCGTTGTTCAGGCTTGCTGCACGGACGGAAGTGGGCGTGGCCTGTCCTGGGGCTTGACGGGGGGCGTGGCGTGGCTCGAGGAGTCGGCGGGCACTGGACCGCTCCAGGACAGAACTGCCTGCGCCTTACAGTCATTGGGGAGCCGGAGACTGTTGCCTGGACTGGTGGGCTGACCCAGAAGATCTCGGAAGTGAGCCGCCAGGCCTCTGAGGACAGGGACGGGTGGGCCTGTTGGGCGCGCAGAAAGGGGAGGGCGCAGTGGGCGGGGCGGGGCATCTGACCACCGCCCGCCCCGCAGGTCCTGTCCTGGGCCACGTGGCGGCCGCTGGTCCTCCTCGCGCTTCTGCAGCTCCGGGCCGCCCAGGGCCCCCCCCCCATCCCGTCTGCGGGCCGCCAGGAAAGCCTCTCCAGCTCGTCGCAAAGTTTCAGCCGCCCCCCGTGGGGGGAACAGACGGAAGGAAAGGAAGTTGGGGACCCGCAGAGAGTGAGCAGGACAGGGAGGGAGCGGGAGGATACCAAGGACAGAACACAGATGGGTGGTGGCTGGGCCTGGTGGCGCACGTCTGTAATCCCAGCGCACTGGGAAGCTGAGGCAGGAGGATCGCTAGTTCAAGCTCGGCCTGGGCAATTTAGCAACTTAGCGAGACTTAGAAAGACTGTCTTAGAGTAAAAAGCTTTAAAAAATGGGGATGAGAGGTGGGCACATAGCTCTTTGCCACAGCGCTAGGCTCAATCCCCAGTCCTGAAAAAGGGGTGTGGGGTGGCAGAGGGTGGAGAGGGAAGGAGTGGGGAAGACGTGGGGTGGGCTGAGAGGGGGCGCTGGCTTCGAGGTGGGCCGACCATTGGGCCCCTGTGAACTCCGGGAGGACCTGCCATCCGACGGGGCCAGTTTTCTCTCTGCCCGGGTGGACTTCTGTGCCTCCACAAGCACTGCCACAGTACAGAGAACCGGAGTCTCTGACTGGGGAGCTGTAGCCGGCACGAAAAAGGCCAGCTTGCCCCTTTTCACCAGGAGCCCAAGCTGGAGGAGGCTCAGGCATGTGAGTGGCCCCAGTCCCGATCCTGGGCTCCCGCTGGCCTCCTGGCTCGTGAGGTGGCTGCTCCAGAAGTGCAACCCGGAAGCCCCGGAGGAGCACGACCGTGACGGGCATCGAGGGTCACAGGCCGTCCTGGGCAGGATCTTCAGGGGAGCTCTCCCCACCCAGTCCCAAGACCCCCTTCCCGTCCCTTCACTGCCCCGGCAGCTGCTCTAGGGGCTGGGGCTGGGCACACACGTGTACGCTCCTGACCCTGCTCCCAGCGCCATCCGGAAATAAAGTTCTTTTTGCAGCTTAGTGCTGTTCCTTCGGGATCAGCACCCAGAGCCTGGCCAATCAGGCCATCCTGGTTCCTTTCAGCCATGCCTGAGCCCCATCCCCTGACTGTGACATCTCAGTCATCTCTGGATGTTGCAGTCCGTAGCTGGCACTGCTTCCCTGGGAAGAGCGACCTGGACCTGAGAAGAGGGTGCTGAGTGGTGCAGAGCAGAAGTTTCTAATCCTGCCTGCTGCATCCTGAAACCTTCCTTTCCTGCCTGAGCTTGTCCATTCTCTCTCACAGCACATGAGTAGCAGCCCTTGCTACTTTCAGTATCAGCAATTTAAAAGTTCTAAGTCTGGTTGTTTCTTTAAAAGTTAAACATGTTGGGCAGGCAGTATGGTGCTCACCTGTAATCCCAGCACTCTGGGAGCCTGAGGCAGGAAGATTGAAAGTTCAAGGCCAGCCTGGGCAACTTACCAACTTAGTGAGATCCTGTCTAAAAATTTAAAAAACTGAAAGAGGGCAATGTGAAGGCCCTGGCTTCAATCCTCAGTACTGAAAAAAAAAAAAAAATGTATATATATATATATATATATATATGTACACACACACACACAACTACTCTATGGCCAGCTGTTCCACACCTAGGTTCTACCCAACAGAAATGAAAGCATGTGTCCTGGCAAAGGCTTGTACATACACGGTTATAACAATCCAATCAATCCAAATATCCTCAGGTGAATGGACAAATTGTGATATAGCCCTACAATGGAATGTTCATAAAGAATCATTGACCAACACACAAAACAGCATAATGCATCTCAAAAGCTTTATCCTGAGCAAAAACAGTCAAATAAAAAAGACTGCATATAACTCTATCTTTAATGAGATCCTAGAAGAAGCAAACCAAATGTCTAGTGAGAGACGATGAGAGGTTGCCTGGGCAAAGGAGTGAAGGTAGGGTAGCAAAGGGATACAAGGAAGCCTGGGGAGGGTTCGTTTCCTGGTTGTGTCAGTAATTTCATAGGTGTACACTGCACGATAAAAAATATGGTGAATGTTTAATTTCTTTTTTTTTTTGTACTGGGGATCGAACTGGGCACCTTGCGCTTTCAAGGCAGGTGGCAGCACCACTGAGCTAAATCCCCAGCCCTGATTAATTTCTTTTTAAATTTTATTACACTAAAAGACACATTGCCATGAATCTCCCTCAAAATCCTCCCCTCACTTTGGTTTTTTTTTTTTTTTTTGGTACCGGGGATTGAACTCGGGTTCTTGCACTTACGCAGCAGGCAGTGAAACCACTGAGCCAAATCCCCGGCCCTCTTCCCCTCACTTTGGACACACTCCATCATTCTTGCCACTTTCTGAAGCAGTTCTGGAAGTGCTCTTTCACAAGTATCTTTAGTTGAGGCATTGTAGCTTCCTTGATGTCCTGAGTCGATTCAGAACGTTTCCTTTTGATGGTCATTTTGACTTTGGGGAAGAGCCAGAAGTCACATGGTGGTAGATCCATGATAAGGTGGATGAGGCACACCACCCTGGTTTTAAAGACACAAAAGAGGACTTTTGGAGTGCTTGAGAACGTGGCAAGGACCAAGGGACAAGCTTGAAGCTCAGGGGAGGGGAGTATATTGAAGGAGATCAAGGCAATGTGTCTTTTACTATGATAAATTTTTAGAAATTTGAACACATTGTGTTTTTTTGTTTTTCTTTTGATTTTTTATTAGTACATATTTACAGAACACACTGATTATACTCCTTGTTGGGAGTGAATATGGGGACATAACACAGTTTATGCTTTTTTCTTCCTTTTCCCTTTCTCCTCGCCCTCCATCTCCCTATTTCCTGTTATCTATCTTACATTTTGCTCTATATTTTGAGTTTCTTATATAAGTGAAACTATGTGATATTTAAGCTTGTGTGTTTGATTTATTTCACTTATTATGGTCTCAAGATGCATCCATTTGCCTACAAATGACTCGTTTATCCTCCTTACGGCAGAGTAGCACTTCATTGTGTGTAAATACAGTTTCTTTATCCATTCATCTGTTGAGGGACATCCAGGCCACTTTCCAGGTTTAGCTATTAGGAATTGTGCTGCTATAAACATGGGTATGCATGTATCACTGTAATATGATGTCTCTAACACTTTTGGGAAGATATCTAGAAGAGAATAGGTGGTTTGAATGGAATTTCTAGTTATAATTTTGGGTTTGTTTTTTTTTAGGAATCTCCATACTGATTTCCATAGTGGTTGTACTAGTTCACATTCCTACCAGCAATGTAGAAGAGTTCCATTTCCCCTGCAGCCTCACAAGCATTTGTTATTATTTGATTTCGTGATGATGGCCATTCTTTTTGGGGTAACATGAAATTTCAGGGTTTTACTTTGTATTTATCTAATGGCCAGAGATGTAGAGCCTTTTTTTGGTGTATTTATTTGCAGTTTGTACTTCACTTCTGAAAAGTGTATTTATTTTAGTTGCTCATTTTTTGGTTGGATCCTTTGTTATAGGTCTATTTTTTTAGTTCTTTATGTATTCTAGACTTTAGTCCTCTGTCTGAGGAATAGGAATTTTTTTCCTGATTCTGTAGGTGGTCTCTTTGCTACGATGGTTGTTTCCTTTTCTGGGCACTTTTTTTTTTTTTTTTTTTTTTGGTACTGGGGATTGAACTCAGGACCTTGTGCTTGCAAGGCAGGCGGTGGAACCACTGAGCTACATCCCCAGCCCTGGGCAGAAGATTTTTAATTTGATATGATCCATTTGTTGTTATTTGTGTGTGTGTGTGATGCTGCCTATTTATTTATCATTTGTTGTTATTCTTGATGTTATTTCTTGTGCAATTGGGAATCTACTCAGAAAGTCCTTGCCTACACATATATTTTCAAGTGTTTTACCTATTTTATCTTCTAGTAGATTGTTTTTGCTTTTAATATTTAGATCTTTGATCCATTTTGATTCTAGTTCAGTGCATGGTGAGAATTATGGGTCTAGATTCAGTCTTGTGCATGCGGATAGCCAGCTGTCCCAACATTATTTATTCAAGAGGCTACCTTTCCTCCAGCATATGATTTTGGCCCGTTGGTCAAAGATCAGATAGCTGAATGTGCCTGGAGCTGTTTCTGCATCTTCTATTCTCTTCCATAGATCCACATGTCTGTTTTTGTCCCAGTACCATGCTGGTTTTTGTCACAGTAGCTTTGTTACATAATTTGACATCCAGGATTGTGATGCTTCCTGCTTTTCTTTTTTTGCCAGGTCTTTGCTGGTTTCATATGAGTTTTAGGATTGCTTTCTCTAGTTCTGTGAGGAATGCTGTTGGTATTTTGGTTAGGATTGCATTTAACCTATATACCAGCTTTGGGAGTATGGCCATTTTGACTATAAGTTCTGGCTATCCAGGAAAGGGTCTATCTTTTCATTTTCTGATGTCCTCTTCAATCTTTTTGAGAGAGTACTGTAATTTTTGGAGTAGAAGTCTTTTACCTCCTTGGTTAGGTTAATTTCTAAGTAGTTTTTCTTGATGCTATTGTGAATGATATTGTTTTCCTAATTTGTTTCTTGTTGAGTTCCTTATTTGAGTACATGGATGTTATTGATTTTTGTGTGTTGATATTGTATCCTACTACACTATTGAATTTGGTTATTCTAGGAGTCTTTGGGGGAATTTTTTGGGTCTTCTCTATAGAGGATCATGTCACTTGCAAATAATACTTTGACTTTCTTTTCTATACACATCCCTTGTGTTTCTTTCTCTTGCCTGATTGTTCTGGCTAGTGTTTCAATTACTACATTAAACAAGAGTGGACATCTTTGTCTTGTTCCTGATTGTAGAGCAAAAGTGTTAGGGCTCATGTCTAGATGTCCCCCAAAGCTTCATGCTGTCATAGTTGAGACTTTTTAAGAGGTGGCTGGGGGTCGGGGATTTAGCTCAGTGGTTCCACCACCTGCCTCGCAAGCTAAGGACTCAAGATTGATCCCCGGTACCAAAAAAAAAAAGAGGTGGCTGGATCTAGGGTGTGTGATGCTGAGATTAAGGGTGTCTGATTTAGCCACTGATTGGTTGGCATAGTTCTGGGGAGGATTAAGGGTGCCCTCACCCTGGATAAAAATATAAGGGACAGAGAGACAGATAGTGGGTCACTTGTTGCTTGATTCTGCTTGTTGCTTTGCTGTCTCCTGCTTGCTTGCTGTGGACTATTTCTCCTCTACAATGCCCTCTGCCATGCCACTCTGTTTTGGAACCAGCCAATTATGGACTGAAACCTCTACAAACTGTGAGCTAAATAAACCTTTCCTCCTTTAACTTTGGGTGTCAGGTATTCTGTCTCAGCCATGAGAACAAGGTAACTAAGACAAAGTTTTGTTTTTCCCCATTTAATATGATGTTGGTAGTAGGTTTGTCATAAATAGCTTTTATCAGATTGAGCTAAGGTCCTATTTCTATTTTCTTCATGAATGGATGTTGGATTTTGTCAAAGGCTTTTTCTGCATCTATTGAGATGATCGTGTGATTTTTGTCCTTGCTTCTGTTTATGTCATGTATTACATTTATTGATTTGCGTATGTGAATTATACTTGCATCCTTGGGATGAAGCCTGATTGGTCATGGTGTGTGATCTTTTTGATGATTTGTTTGCCAATATCTTACTCAGGATTTTTGCATCTTTGTTCATGAAAGAGATTGGCCTGCAGTTCTTCTCTTTTTGGCATAGAACTTTGTCTGGCTTTGGAATCAGGGTAATGGTAGCTTCCAGGAATGGCTTTGGGAGAACTCCTTTCCTTTCAGTTTCACGAAGGAGCTCGGGGAGTAGTGGTGTTCAGCCTTCCCTGGAGCTCTTGTAGAATTCAGTGGTGAATCCTTTGGGCCCTGGGCTTTTCTTAGTTGGTAGGTTTTAAATTATTATTATTATTATTATTATTATTATTATTATTATTATTACTGCTTCAATTTCATTGTCTACTTTTGGATTACTCTGGTTTTTAAAATCTTCTTAGTTCAGTTTTGGTAATTCATATGTACCTAGGAATCTGTCCATTTCCTCTAGATTCTCCAGTTTATTGGAGTACAGGTTTTTGAAGTGGTTACTGATAATATTCAGGACTTTGGCATTAATACCCAGCCTTGTATGTGTTTCCCAGACCTGACTGAAGCCATACATTCACACAGGTGTATATACCCTCGGCTGTCCTCAGTCCAGCAGCCTGAGCAGTGCTCGCTGTGCACCCAGAGCCCCGCTGGGCAGGACCCCTTGGCAGCAGCCCCTTCCACTTCCTTCCTCTTCCCATCCTCCCGCCCAGTATCAGCCTGGACACTGACAGCTGGGCTCCCTGCCCTCCCCGATGCTGACAGCAGTGGTCTCTGGCCCCTCCCTGGTTGAGCACTCTACCCACAGGCCAGTCCTGGGATGCCTGCGTGTCCGGGGGAGGATGCAATGTCAGGGACCCCTGCCTTGAAACCTGGCCCCTCCAGGTGTCATAAACTGAATATAGCTGCTGCCCAGCAACCATCTGGGCACTGCTGAAGCTGTCTGAAACAGTCTTCTGGTCAGCTTTGGCCCAGCTGAAACTTCTCCTTTAGGGGTGGGGATTGCTTGCATGCAATTTTTTTGTTTCAGACCTGGGGATTGAACCCAGGGCCTTTGCCCTGAACTGCATCCCCAGCCCTTTATTTTTTAAATTTTGAAACAGGGTCTCTAAGTTCTTAAATTGCCCAGGCTGAGTTCGAACTCCTGATCCTCCTGCCTCAGCCTCCCAGGGTGCTGGGATTACAGGAGTGCACCACCTTGCCCAACTAGTTGTTTGCAATCTTGCCCACCTGCTCCTCACCCTGCGGGCCCCAAACCTGATAGCGCACAGCTGCTGACCACGGGGAAAACCCAACAACCAACACCTGAGGTGCGGAACCCAGCGCCCTCCGCACCGGTTTTCTTTAAACCAGCCAGTCCGCAGCTGCGGCCAGGACAACGCACAGTGGCCTTGACGGAGGCGGGGCCCACCAGCCCTCCCTGTTCCGAGGGCCTCGCGGGGACACCCTTCCCCGGCGGGTCTGAGTAATCCACCACTGCGCTTTCTGAGCTTCCACTGGGCGCCTCCTCTGCGTCTTTCCTGCTCCACGCAGGTCTCTGGGTAGGAATAACCCGGATCCGGGTCACATGAGGGCCACCAAGGGATTCTGCCCGCACACGCAGTGCTCCGGTAAGAGGGACACCTGGTGACGGGGTGGACGCTGGGGCACACTGGGTCTTGCGAGAGGCTGGCTGTGGACACCCGAGGTGCACCCGAGCGCGCAGCGGCCAGGGGAGTGAAAGGCTCAGACCCGCGGGATCCGGCTCCCAACACTGGGGAGCCGGGCGGGGCGACCCTTTCCGGGCTTCCCAGAGTGGTGCCTCTCAGGGAGCTCCGTCAACTTCCGTGTCAGAGGCTTTTGTTCCTGTGTGGGTAGCGAGGGTCCAGCGTGTGCTGTGTGGAGCGACATCCTCCCTCGGGTTTCTGGCCCACATCCCCTCACAGGGCGACCACGTGGGAATGTTTAAACCTGCTAGCGTCTGTTGTGCTGGTGGTGGACGCCTGTGATCCCAGCACTCTGGGAGGCTGAGACAGGAGGATCACAAGTTGGAGCAGAGCCAAGATCCAGTCTCAAAAAACCCCACAACAACCTGGTAATGTAAGTTCAGTGGTAGAGCGCCCTTGGGTTTGATCCCCAGTAACCGCCCCTCCATAGAAACTCGCTTTTGGTACATTTCAGTGGCAGTCTTATCTTTATAAAAACGTCTTTGGAAGATAGAAAACTCATGTTAGGAAGCCAGAATGGCCTTGTTTCTAAGACCTGTAAAGTAAACTTCAAAGAAAGGAAAATTTTCAGTACAATATCTCTCATAAACACAGGGGCAAAAAAATCCCAAACAGTATTAGGAAGGTTAGGTGGGGGTGATGGGCACCTGTAGTTCCAGCTGTTGGAGAGACTGAGGCAGGAGGATCTCGTGAGGCCAGGAGTTCAAACCCATGGCTTCCCCTGGCCCCCAGTTTTGGGGATTGAACCTAGGGTCTTTGCACTGAGCCACATCCCCAGCCTTTTTTTGTTTTATTTTTGGTACCGGGGATCGAACTTGGGTCCTTGTGCTTGCACAGCAGGTGGCAAAACCACTGAGCTAAATCCCCGGCCCAGCCCTTTTTTATTTTCAATTTTGAAAATTGCCAAGTTGCCCAGGCTGGGCTAGAACCTGTGGTACTCCTGCCTCAGCCTCCCAGAGTGCTGGGATTACACAAGGCAGGGGAAAAAAACCTGGTCCAGGTGAGTCTTCCTGTCAGCCTTTGATCTGCTGCCTGCCTCAATTTGCTGACAAGCGCCCCTCGCCCCAGACAGCCCTCCTCAGAGGACCCTGCTTGGGGAAGCAGCCTGGCGCCCGCTCCCACACAGGCCGGGCCTGGGGTCCCCACTCCAGAGGGGGAGAAAGTTTCTGGTGTCGTTGTGCTTGGTGACGTTGGTTTGTAATCCCTGCTTTTCTGACGACAGCTTCCCCTTTCTGGCTGCAGAGAAACCTGCCCAGTCTCCTCACAAAAGAAAGCCAGGATTTGCTGGCAGAACAAACGCACTCATGCATGCCGCCCACCTGGCTCGTGTGCGCTAGTCTAGCGGAGGGAGCGCAGGCTTGGGGTTTGGTCAGGAGCAGGGTAACTTCGCATAGAGGTGGAGCCCAAGACTGGGGCACTCTGAGGCCTGAAGAACTGGGTCTGGGACGAAACAGGAGCCTCTGATTCATGGCACCTGCCAGTTCCCACAGTGAGTCATCCATCTCACTGTGCCCAATTTAGAGCTACCAAGGAGATGGGCTCTGGCTCGCAGAGTCCTTCAAGTTAAAAGTCAGCTCTCAAGCTTGGTATGGTGGTGCAGCACCTGCAGTCCCAGCACTGGGAGGCTGAAGCAGGAGAATCACAAGTTCCCAGCCCAGCCTGGGGAATTTAGTGACTAAGTAAGGCTGCCTCAAAATAAAAAAGAAATAAAAAGGGCCGGGGATTTATCTCAGTGGTTCCAGTGCTTGCCTCGCAAGCGCAAGGTCCCAAGTTCGATCCCCGGTACCAAAAAAAAAAAAGTAAAAGGGCTGGGGATGTTGCTCAGTGAAAAGCCCATGGGTTCAGTATCCGTGCCACAAAAAAATAGAACTGGGTGGGGGGATCCCTGAACCTGGAGGTGCCCCACAGCTGAAGGATCAGCATGAAGACGTGGACTTCATCAGAAAGCTCAAGGTGAAACCAGGTCGGCAGCTCCCAGCATTGCAAGCCCAGAGCCCAGACATCCTCTGGAATCACCCCAGGCGGAGAGTGGAGGGTGCCTGGGCCGGGAGCAGCTTGGGGCTAGCGCAGGAGCCGCGCTGTCTCCCCTGGGCACCGTGGGGCAGCCCTGCCCTCTGGTGGCGGCGCGAAGAACTACACCACCCCAGAAGTATCTGGAGCTGGCTGACTGGCCACTGCTGTCTACTATAGGTACCCTTGGGTTTGCAATCTTGTAAGGAGGTCAGTCAAAACTTTTATTCAAAGCATTTACTTGCAGAACCAGGCTTCTCATTCTGGGATTCTGGGTTCTTGATCTAGGCTCTGAGCAGCAGGCTCAAACTCGTGAGCTTCCTGTCTCGGCCTCTCAGAGTGCTGGGATTATAGGTGTGCACACTAGCCACGCTTTTGTGAGTGCACTAATCTCCTTCGAGAGGAATCCAGCCTCAGGACCTAATCACTCCCAAAGGGCCCACCAGCTCCTCAACCACGCGTGGATTCTGGAGGGCTCAGTCCCTTGCGAGAGCACTGGGGTGAGGCTCAGGGCGGGATGAGTGTGAAATAGGGTGCAGTAGCACAGGCATCGACACCGGGCTCAGATGTTGCCCCAGGAGGGTCTCCATTTCCTCTCTATAGGAGAAGGGGGTTCTTGACCTCTTGTGCTGCCCTGTTTGGCTCACGGGTGTGGAAGCCTGGGCTCGTGAAGAAAGCGGGACCCTTCAGGCCCCTGATTTCCTGAGGTCTGTGGGGTCTCGGGAAGATGCCTGGAGAGAGCGCCTCCTCTCTCCCAGGGACAGGGGGAGCGCTGCTTTCTGGTGGTAAATCGCAGTACTGCGTCCCCCAGAACCCCCATCTTGGGTCCTTGGACACACGCCCCAGAGCGACATCAGGCCTGGGAGGAAAACGCTCCCTGTCTAGCGCAGTGGTAACTCTGTCCCACAGGTAAAACCCAAGGTCACAGTTCAAGGGACAAGTGCGACATCTCCTTACACAAGCCCCGGCCAAGCTGCACTCTCACCCACCGTGTAGGAGAAAATCCACTTCCTCTCTCTATGGCCAGCCTGGATGTTAGAGATAAAAACAACAAAAGCAAACACTCCCAATGCTTTGCAAAAGCACAATAATGCATTTACATTGTAAAAACCTATGAAATCTTTGGGCACGGTGGTGCACGCCTGTAATCTCAGCACTTTGGGAGGCTGAGGCAGGAGGATTGTAAGTTGGAGGCTGGCCTGGGCAATTAGGTCCTGTCCTATTTTTAAAAACCAGGCTAGGCATGTAGCTCAGTGTGAAGGCCCTGGTTCAATCCCCAGCGTGCCAAAACTAAACAAAAGTTAAAAATCCAAAACACAAGAAAAAATACCCAGTCTAAAGTACCCCTAAGGGTGCAGGGAAGCCTCAGAGAGCTCCCTCTCCCATCTGGCTGACCTGGACACTGAACACACAGGGAGAGCGGGAGAGAGGGGCGCTCTGGAGGATGAAGTGGAGGAGGAAGGGGGGATTAAGTGGACAGGGAGCGGGGACACGGGCAGGGTCCGGTTACCGCCTGACAGCAACATTAACTTTACACAGTCAGAGGCAACCCCTGGTGTGGGAGACGCTGATGTGACACAGGAGTGAAAGCAACTAGAGTCTGTAATTCTTACAGGCACACATACAACCCCAAGATCTTTCCTCTTCCAATAAGAAATGCAAGAAGAAAATACAGAGAAAGAGAGAGGGAGGGAGAGAGAATACAAACACAGTTCGATGTTCCTCCTTGGGATGGACTTTATTCAGAGTCTAAATTGGGCCAGATGACTCAGCCAGAGGCCTGGCCGGGTCTGCAGGGCCAGGCCCTGGCCCCCTGTGGTGGTGACTGCGCTTCTTCCCAGCAACTGAAGTCAGCAGCTCTGGGCCGGGAGTGAGGGGCCTGGGCCCCAGCCTGTCCTGTGCCTGCCTCGGTGTGCTGGGCAGCAGGTCTGGAGGGTGGCCTGCCACCCCAGAATGCCAGCTCACTGCAGGCAGCATGGCTGGCCAGTGACTGCCACCACCTTCAAGTGCAGGTCCACCCCGTCCTCCTCTCCTGTCTCTGGAAGGCCCCAGCTCCATGTCTCAGGGTGCTCAGGCCTCCAGGATTTCGGTACCATCCCAGGCTGTTTCTCTTTGATCACGGTGCCCAAGGGCCCAGCTGCCTTGGACCACTAAATTTACCTCTGGCACTTGCGTCCCCTGTGCACAGTGCCAGGCAGGCAGCAGCCCACACCCAAACTGTCGGGTCTGTCACTTGCAGCTTCTGTAGGGGACTCAGACCCCTGCACGTGGCTTGAACGTAGAACCTACTCTGGGAACAGAGACCATGTACCGGGAAAGCCATTTCTCATACTCTCTCAGACCCTGGGCCATGCCTGGTGGCAGACAGGGGTGTCTGGCCTGAGTGCCCCGCTGCCTGTTTCTCCTGCAAGTTTTTGTGTGGCTGTTGTCACAGCCTCTGGCCTGTGTCCTGTGGGGGGCTGTGTGTCTGCCCCAGTTGTGGACAAGAGCGTCTCTGAACTGTGCTGGAAACAACACCTGGCTGTGGGGCAGCTTCCCTTCTCAGCTCTTCCCTTTCTCTGCCTGGCCTGGCTGCTCTCCTGTCCAGGCTGTGTTCCAACTGTTGGTGTCTTGGCCATTCCCTGCAGCTGCACTCAGTGAGCTCCATGTGTCTCAGAGGTGTCCATTGTGTTGTTTTCTCTACATCCCAAGGGTTCCCCCTCAGCTTATACCACATTTTCTTTTTTTTTGGTATCAGGGATTGAACTCGGGTCCTTGCGCTTGCAAAGCAGGTGGCAGAACCACTGAGCTAAATCCCCAGCCCATACACCACATTTTCTTCATTCATCTGTTGATGGACACGTAGGCTGGGTCCATACCTTGCTATTGTGAATTGTGCTGAAATCAACATGGGTATGCAGGTGTTCCTAGTGTCCTGACTTTGACTGCTTTGGGTGGATACTATGGAGTGGTATAGTTGGATCATATAGTAGCTCTATTTTTAGTTTTTTTGAGGCACTTCCATAGTAATGCCCATACTGTACTTATTTACATTCCAACTGATAGTGTATAAGGGTTTATTTTCCCTGAATCCTCACCTGTGTTTGTTTTTGTATTTTTTTTTTTTTGAGGCAAGGTCTTACTTTGTAGTTTGGATTGGCATCAAATTCACTATGTAGCCCAGGCTAGTCTAAAACTTAGTGATCCTCCTGCCTCAGCCTCCTGAGTGCTGGGATTATAGGCGTATACCACCACAACTGGCTTTGTTTTTGTATTCTTGATGATGGCCATTCTGACAGGGGTGAGATGGACTCTCAGTGTAGTTTTATTTGCAATTCCTTGATGGCTAAAGAGGTTGAACAGTTTTCCATATACTTATTGGCC